TTTATTTGTAAATTTTCATGTTCTTTGAGTGAAACTTCACTTTCTTGACTAGAAAAACTCGCTAAGTCTCTGAACTGTGAGGCAGTTGATCAAGCTCAGCAAAGAGAACTGAAAAGGAGAATATTTTTCAGAGAAGCAGGCGTTGGCTCTGAAGAAATGCTGATGCCTTATCTGAATGCTCTCTCCAGTTTCCGAGAGAAAGTTAGGAATATCGCCAAGGAAAATAAAGTGACCGCCATTCTGGAGGTATTCACTTTTGTCATATTCTTATTTACTAATTGGAAAAGGGTAATTCCTACATATTCGCTGCAAGTTTTCATTTACAGGAATGTGACCGGTTACGAGACGATGTTCTCCCTGAACTGGGTGTCCGACTGGAGGATCGAGCACAGGAAACAGTGGTGAAGCTATGTGACCGTGACATTCTACTTCGTGAACGTGAACAAAAGCGAGCAATCGAAGCAGCAAGACGAGAAGTTAGTCCCATATTTGGCCTATGTTTCACAGTCTGCACCACTGTAGGATCATTTAGGAAAAAGAGCGGAAAGCCGCAGAGAAAGCAGAGAAAGAGGCGTCCAAACGTATTCCTCCCCAGGAGATGTTCTGCCGAGGCGATGAAGCGGCGAAATATAGCAAGTGGGATGAGAACGGTATCCCCACGCACACGGCTGACGGCGAAGAGGTATGGTGACATTATCGTTCATTCACTTGGTCAAAGTCAGTACTGCTCGAAGGTGATGCCAATAGAAGGCGTCGTTGTTAAATCCGCAGGAAGCCATTGGGAACTGAATAGGTTATTTTACCCAAGTGTCAAGACCCCTCTAAAGACAAACTGTACCCTTATACCCAGGATGGTCCGTGCCATGTGCGAACAGGTCATGCTGACGTGCTGTACACCTTCGCCACTTGAAATGTATGGAGAAGAAGGGGAAGGGTAGTAATACTCGAGTCCCTTCCGGGCCCCTCCCGTGCCATCCTGGAGGTGCATCACTTACCAAAATCCCGCAGCACTACGCAATCAGAGGTAGGGAACAACCAGAAGTGAGAGCGCTCATACAAGTACCGCGTTTGGCTATGGTTAGGCGCATGGCTGGCTGTCCATAGCAGTCGGTACCCGGTTTATCACTGCCATCCTGTCCCGTTCCCGTGCACTTTTAAGCGGAAAAGTGACACTGCGTTCCAGAACCATTCATCTCCACATGGCAAGAATTGAATCCCTTGAGCCAAGTGTATTCAATTAACTTCAAGCAAATCAGTTCATGCTGCGCTTACCTCATGATTCCTTCACCTTCAGCCAGCATCTTGGAAGAGTCAAATATCAGGGAACCGAGGCGCACTGTATGAGAAGCGCAGCAATCCTGACCAGAAAGAGTATAGGAATGCTTGTTGAGTCTTGACGTCAATGACAAACTATTCGTTTGTCATCCGTCCGACCTGAGCTCGATTCCAGGCTGGTAAACGGATAAGAATAAGGATAAGAACTTAGCCTTTTTGGGATGCGCCACGCATTCTACTTTCATTCAGAATCGTAGTGGCTTACTGAATGCGATGTGGTCTGTACAATTACTTGTGGGTTCTTGTCCTCCCAGACGAATCTGGTACCATTTTACCGTCTCCGGAGAGTAGAAAGCTCGGCCCGAGCGGTAGCTGATCCGCGATTTGACCCCGGACGCGCGTGTGATAAGCGGCCACTTGACACTACACCACCTTCGCCTCTTTCTAGGCCGTTACACCCTATAACCAAGACGGGTGCAAAAAAACTTCCATTTTTGATATTTGATGTCACATAAAACGGCGGTGTGGTAAGGCTGCGTTTATACTTTGCGGCAGCGTAGCGTAGCGCAGCGTAGCGTAGCGCTTCCAGCGTACGCCAGCGGCAGTGCCGAAGAGAGGATGCATATCGATCTAGCTTCACCAGCGTCACCAGCACGCTGGCGTACGCTAGCGTACGCCAGCGTTTCTCCAGCGTTTCACCAGCGTTTTGCTAGCGCTTGCAGCGGCAGGGGAGTAGAGACTATGTGGCCGTGAGAGACGCGGAATCGACGTGTATTGTAGAGACCATATGTGGCCGTCGGAGACGCAGAAGCGATGTGCATTGTAGAGACTATGTGGCCGTCGGAGACGCAGAAGCGATGTGCATTGTAGAGACTATGTGGCCGTCGGAGACGCAGAAGCGATGTGCATTGTAGAGACTAAGGGCGAGTGAGAGACGCGCAATCGATGTGTTTGTACCCTCCAGCTCTCCCATAGTCTCTACTCCCCTGCCGCTGCAAACGCTAGCAAAACGCTGGTGAAACGCTGGAGAAACGCTGGCGTACGCTAGCGTGCCGCTAGCGTACGCCAGCGTGCCGCTGGTGACGCTGGTGAAGCTAGATCGATATGCATCCTCTCTTCGGCACTGCCGCTGGCGTACGCTGGAAGCGCTACGCTACGCTGCCGCAAAGTATAAACGCAGCCTAAGGCTTATCAGCGCGAGAAAAGTGTGTGGAATAGCGTTCTCTACCGTTACAGCGGAAGGAAGCCTTTATAAAAATATCTATCCTAAAAAAAGAAAAAAAAAAGCAAGAAGGGTCCCCAAGAACACCATGAACAAAATCGCTTCCTGACAGACTCCGCCCTGCGGTCTCTGTGCAACCCCTGGCTCACAAATCGCTTTATTGCATCTCCCTAGTGGATATCATCCAGCGCAAGAAAAGATTACGAAAAACAACAAAACACCGACAGAAAGCTCCTCACAAAAAGAAACTTTCGAAAAATCGGCGTACCAAATTAGGGTTACGGTAACGTGCATCTTATAGTGCGTCGAGCTTTTGCGTCTAACCTTCTAGTGCGTCGAGCTTTTGCATCAAGGAAATAGCATCACTCGTGATTTTAATGCGTTTCACCTTGCGAGAATGGTTGCTGACATGTGCTCCTCAGCGAAAAGGACATGGAATTTCGATTAATGTTTTGTTGTTGATTAAGTTCGATTTAAGATTTAGATTTAAAAATCGAATTTGATTTCGATTTCGCCGCCCCAACAAAGAACAACTGAGCGGCCCGCCGTCAAAGGGCATCTAGCAAGTGGGCGGTCCAACTGAGCAGGCGTTAGAATTACACATTTCAGCGTCTGTAGCACGCTCCTCATCAGGAAGGAAATTTTTTAAATACGACCCGCTTCCCTCGTGGAGGGTTCCATGATGGCATGCCTTGGATGGCGTACTCCAGCGTAATCTCAGTGCTTTGTTTCCTGCCACCAGTTTGTGGAAATTTCTCGTGCTGAGGAATCATCTTTAAATCATATTGCTATTAGAGTTACTTGTCATGTCAGGATCAGAAATTGGTTCTTTTTTCAGATTTCTAAGAAACAACGGAAGAAACTGGAAAAGTTGTGGGAGACACAGCAGAAGAATTACCAGCAGGCCATGGCGTCTGGAAATTAGATATTTTTTTGGAAAATAGGTTATATCTTGAACTTTTCTCATGTGGTCTTTTTCCTTTCCCAGAACAGAGGGATCCTGTCTGTACTCTCATCTAGATTTTGCATTTCTTTTGCCCCATTCCTGTTGTTTTATCCACGGCTTTACGGAGTTTGGACTTCTTTCAACGTTGGTTGTTTGAATTTTTTCTGGAGTGTCAACTGTGGTTGAACTAGCACTTCATTCTAGTCAACCGCTAAATGTCTTAAAAGTGTGATCGAAATATTGAAGTCAGCATGCCCGGGGGGCGCGTTCTGACATGCTCCGTCGTAGTTATTAAATTTGTTATCTGTTGAGTTTTGTTTCGTTGAATCTTTATTAATAGTGGTTTATTATACCCTTACAGGTGTTGGGAGCAGTTCGAAATATAATTTATAGGAATAATCTTTTTGCTATGCTTCCTTATAGAAATGAATATTCATTTGTTGTTTCCTGGTAAAGTTTCTCGATTAAACAAAGTGCATTGGAAAACCTTTTTTTCTACTCTGGGAATGAAACGCTACTTATACACCTTATCCCTGAGACGGAGTAGGCGTGGTGGCATAGAGCTGGTTACTCGTGGGATATTTCAATTTGAGACAACCGCCATCTTGTTCTTTGTTGGACAGAGACGTGACCACATTTGGGTCAAAATGAAAATATCTCTCCAAAAGCATAGCCACCACGACGTTTAGTTGAAGTACGCAGCCACGCCTACCTCATCTCAGGGATTTCGAGTGTACGTGAACGCGAGGGACACATTTCGCGATTACATGGAAGATATCCCTCACTTGCATTCAAGATACTCTCCTCATTACGGACTGTCGGGGCGGTCAGTGCGGCTGCGTTTTCCGCGGTGCCAAAGTCTTTCTGCACCAGTTGTTGAAGCGGGCAAGTGACATTACTGTATTATATCCTTCGTATTACTCGTTTTCTACCACTTTTTGTCGCATACGCGTTTCAACGAAAAGGCTGAGAACGGCTTCAAACAGTGTGCGCACTCCTACTGGCTGATACGCCCCGACAGTCCGTAATGATGAGGAGAGTAAGATAAGCGGGAACTTTAGTTGATAACGTCGCAATCAGTCGGGGCGGGGTGAGGTGTCATCGGCTGTCCTGCTCCACCAGTGGTTACCAGTGGTGAAGGTCAGTGATCTACTTAATGAGGGAACAACCAGTGGTGGAAACGCCACAGGTGGGCTGTTTCTATTCCGATTAAAACCACCTCGAAAGACTACGATG